CACAACTAAAATATACAACTATGTACTGGGGGGGGATTTGGGGAGAAAAAGCAGAAGAAAAAAAGGATTGGCAACAGTTGTTAGCTCAGGTGCCAATCTTAAAAGCAAAAAAGACCTTTACCTGATATAGCCTTTGTTAATACTTCCCCCATTGTGTAGCTTGCCTCTTCATTTCCTTAAGGGTGACTTTTGATGACCAGAAGTTTTTAATTATGATGAAGTCTACTTTATCAGTTTTTCCTTTGTGGCCATTGTTTGCTGTGTCCTATCTAAGAAACCTTTGTCTAATTTCAAGTCATGCAAACATTTTGATATGTTTTCCTCTAAAAGCTTTATGGTTTTAGCTTTCACATTTAGGTTTGTGATCCATCTCAAAATAATTTTTGTGCATGTTGTGAGCTAAGGGTTAGGATTCATTTTTTTCCATGTGAAATTTAGTTATTTCGGCATTATTTATTTTATTTTTTTAAGGAAGATTAGCCCTGAGCTATCTGCCACCAATCCTCCTCTTTTTGCTGAGGAAGGCTGGCCCTGAGCTAACATCCATGCCCATCTTCCTCTGCTTTCTATGTGGGATGCCTGCCACAGCATGGCTTGCCAAGCGGTGCTGGGTCTGCACCTGGGATGCAAACTGGCGAACCCCGGGCCGCCGAAGTGGAAAGTGCGATCTTAACTCTGCACCACCGGGCTGGCCCCTCAGCATACTTTACTGAAATGACTTGACTTTACTCATTGGATTGCTTTCATGCCTTCTCTGAAAATCAAAAGGCCATATAAGGATGAGTGGTTTGCATTTTTAAATTATCTTTTTGGTATTGATTTTTCATTTTATTATGTTGTGATCTGAGGATCTGGTTTATATATTGATTTTTTATTTTTGTACACCTTTTTGGCTTACTACGTTGTCAGTTTTATTAAATAACCCTCAGGTGCTTGAAAAGTATGGTTTTTCTCTAATTATTAGTTGCAGAATTCTGTATCAATCATTTGAGGAAGTGTTTCGTGTTGTACAAATTTCGTATTCTAAGAAAATGTTTTTTGGCTTGAGTTCTCATTTTTTGAGATATTTGTTATAGTCTCCTAGCTTGGCCTGCTTGTGGGATGGCAAGGAGGCCAGTGTGTCGTTCAAACACGGTAAGGAGGAGAGGAGTAGGAACTGAGATCAAAGAAGCAGTAGGGCCAGATCACGTCTTAAGGGCTTTGGACTTTACTATGAGTGTGTTGAGCCATCTTTGAAGGGTTATGAGCAGAGGATTACACTGTGCTGTGTTGAGAATAGAATAGCGGGGTGTGGGGTGCGGGTTCTGTAAGGGACTAGTTCAGAGACCACTGTAGAAGGCCAGGCAAAAGAAGATGAGAGTTTGGACCAGGGTGGTATAGAAGGAAGAGGTGAGAAAGTGTCTGGAAATATTTTGGAGATAATGTGTCGACGAAAATAATCCATATCCAATCTATAAATGAAAATTTGGGTGAGTTTATTCTGAGCTTAAATCTGAGGATTATAACCCGGGAGAGTCTTTCCACAAAGGAACAGAGCACTCCAAAGAAGTGAGGGTATAAGGGTGGTTATATACCCTCAAAGAGGATGTTTCACATAGGATTGAAATGTCCCTTTTACAATAGTCGCGAGACTGCTCTGTCGGCACAGCGATTGATGGAAATAGCAGGTAGGTCTTCTGTCTCTATGAACACAGCAGGGTGGCAGTCTGTTGTCTCCAGCTGGGTGGTCACAGGTGAGCTGGGAGGTGAGTGCAGCAATCAGTTCCTAGCCTAAAGAAAAATGCTAATGTCGGGGGGAAGTTGCATCTTTATCTCAAGTGCCTTTGTTCTGGCCAAAAGAAATGTCTAAGCAGATATGCAATGCGTGCTCAATAGCCAGTCAGGCCCTTTTGGAGGAAAAAAAAAAGAAGTCAGGACGAATTAGGTTTATACCAAATGGCTTCCTCATATACTCCAATATATCCTATTGCTTGCCATTTTTATTTGTCAATGCCAACAGATTTTGTTAATAGTTTAAATGTGAGGTGTGAGAGGAGGAGAGGATTCAAGGATGACTGCAAGATTTTTGGGCTGAAGTACTGGAAGAATGGAGTTACTGATTACTAAGGGGGGATGTATGTATATATCTGTGAGCTCCTTAGGGGCATGCTTCTTAATAGTGCCTTCATGATCCGAATGCCAACAAATATAATAATGTTAATTAATCATTTAATCCTTACACAAACCTAGATGACAGGTTCTATTTTTATTCCCATTTATACATGGGGACACTGAGCTCCATAGAAGTTCAAGAACTTGTTCAAGCTTGCCTAATTAGGAAAAAAGAGAACTGAGATTCTTTTTTTTCTCTTGGTAAATTTTCTCCAGATCTAGCTCCTTACTTTTCCTTAAAAACTATTGTTTTAATTTTTGAAGAGGTGACAGAGTCACAAGTTTCTCTTCAACCTTTTTTCTCAGCCATCCACTTCCCCTCCCACAGGCAACCAGTCTTACTAGTTTCTTGAATATTCTTCCAGAGATATTTTGTTCCCTAAATAAGCAGCTATAAAACAGAAAATATTTTCCCCCTCTTTTTTTCATGGAGGGTCACAAAGTTTATACACTGCTCTGTACTGTTTTCCACTTGGATAACTTTCCACACAGTAAGACCATAATTTGTTTAATTAGTCCCCTGTCGGTGAACACTTAGCATATTTCTAGTCACTTGTTATTATAAACACTAGGGCTGCAGTGAATTACTTGTACATATGCCATTTGCAAAGATGAAAGCTGGTATTATAACCAAGATCTGCCTGACCTTAAAGCTACTTAATTTCCACACCGCACCGCCTCCCCATATGTTGTTGATTGATTTGACAGGATGATTCTTCTTGGCTCCCCTCAATTTTGTGAGAATACTTTATGCCTTTACCCCTGTGACACTCAGCTCCCAGCCCCAGGCATAGCCACTCCTGAACACCTCTTAAGGTCATAAATACTCAGTCTCTTCAGGGGATCTTTTGTGGGAACCTCGTCCACACTGGCATGACCCTGATGACAGAGTCCAGAAAAGGGGAAACTGAGAGCACTTCAGAAAGGTTTCATTTGCTTATTGGTTTAATGAATATGCACTTTGGGAAGTAACCTAGAGGGTGAGTGTCTACGGCAAATGGAAAACCTTTCCTAAAGTCAGCTGATGATCCGACTCTGGCAGAGGCTGATTGCACGCCAGTATCTTGAGCAATGTATCACCTCATCATACGTGACAGGTAACCTTCATCATTTTTGTCTTGCACAACTTTTCATTGTGCATAGGGCGAACTTTGTTCTGGATTTGAATCATTTCCTTTCAAATCTTACATGTGCTTTGTGGTGCTAAAAGGTTTACTGGTCTCGTAATAAGTGAATAATTTGGCAACTCTATCTAGCTTTGAACTTTGGCCTAGTTTGTGTTGAAAAGACATGTACTCCTCTGTGAACTTTCACCCAGATATCTGATTCCCTGAAATTATTAATAGTACTGGAGATGGACCTAGTAATTCTTTTTAATCTGTTGATATTTGAGATCTCTAAATACTTCATAAACATTATTAACACATACATTTAAAGTTAAAACCACTCTTCCATCTCAGCCATAGAAAACAGCACTTACCTTTTTCATCCTCTGGTAATAGTAATAATTAATACTTATTGAGCCCTTACTACATGCTAGGTGGTGTTGTAAGCCCTTTAGGTAACACTCACAACAGGTGGGTTCTATTATTATTATCCCCATTTTATAAGTGAGGAAACTGAACAGAGAGGTTAAGTAATTTGCTTAAGGTAATACCAGATCGCTATTAGATAGCGAAACTGGGATTTGGACTCCCTGAAGGTGGCTTGGGAGCCCATACTATTAAACATTATGCCATGAACTTGTTAGGACACATGTCCTCCATCTATCTTACTGCTACTGCCATTTCCTACCTGTCCTTTTTGTTTTTCTGTCCTACCCGTCACCACCTCTACCCTCTACCATCTTAGCCAAACACTGGCAAAGCGGAGTTGGGGAGCCAGCTGTCAGAACACAGTAATACAATTTAATGATGTACCAAAAAGTCATGATACTCTGGGAAAAGGTAATATTACCAATGGCTCTGTAAGAGTTAAGAACGTATCAGTGAGTGTCATTGTCTCTTTTGTAGAGGCCAAAAGGCTGGTTTGGAAAGTCAATCCACATCTTGGGATAGGTGTGTGATTAGGAAGGGTTCAAGAATCACCCATGACCCTCCATGTGAGGTAGGTGTTGACTAGCTGAAGAACACTTGTTTTCCCACCCCTGGCTTCCTAGAGATTTGAGACTTCAGGGTTTCCACAGAAGCCAAACAAAACTAGCCTTCTTCTTTTCAAAAGAGCGGTCCTTCCTGAATATTTCTTGAATCCTCCATTGATCTCTCTCCAATCCATCCTCCACACTGCTGCCAGAGACCACATAAACCCAGTGTAAACTCCTCCAAGGACTCCCCAACCTCACTTTCAGAATAAATTAAACTCCTGAGCTTATCACTCCAAGCCTTGCTGATCTGATCTCTGCCTCTGTCTGCCACTCCCTCACACATACTCTTCATTTCACTCCCTTCCGCAAATGCAGTGGCTCACCTTTGTTCCAGCTGGGCCCCTTAGCATGCTTGTCAAGGACCTCCCAGATCTACTTTTCTAGCCTCATCTCCCACCATCTTCCGACATGTAGCCTCTGTCCCAGTCTCGTGGTTCTCTTCCCTATCCTTCACTTGTTCTTAAAGGCCCTGCTCCAAAACCACCTCCTTTATAAGAGCTTCCTTGTGGCCACCTCCCGCCTCACCCCCAGTTTGAATGAGCTGCTATCTTCAGCTATGTCCTCAAGGCATGATTCTCTGTTTAGATCACATTACATCTTCAATGTGCATTTGGTTGTTTACAATCTTTTCTCCTCCAATAGGTCGTAGGCTCCTTGAGATTGATGACTGACACTGCATCTATTTCATTTCTGTATGCCTCTGCAGTTTCTGCTAAAGAACCTGGCCCGTACCTGGTGTTCATTCATATAGCCTGGAATAGCCTATTTCTTATGAATGAAAGAAATGCTAGGCAACATTTGCTAAATCATTTGTTTATGAGGTAAGTCAAAATAACAGGTGATGCTACTCTCTTCAGTTTAAAAACTGAAGTTATATCTTTCAGGTGTGGCTGAAAGACTCTAGAATGGCACTGTCCAATATGGTAACCATAGCCACATGTGCCTATATAAATTTAAATTAATTAAAAATAAAATTGAAACTTCCATTCCTCAGTCACATTATCCACATTTCAAGTGCTCAATGGCCTCATGTGGCTAGTGTATGGTTAGCACAGCTATAGAACATTTCTATCATTGTAGAAAGTTCTATTGGACAGTATTGATCCAGAAAGATCATTGGTACAGGTCAGTGGAGTTCAAATAAAGTGTATATACTATTAGGAAACTATTCTTATGAGCACAGTAGGATAACACTGATAACATCATCTTGGAGAATATCTGTTATTGCTTTATCTTTGGAATATTCAACACTTAGTAACTCAGGCTTGCAGTAGAGAAAGAAAAAAAAGGAAGCCATTGGGGCTGGCCCCATGCCTGAGTGGTTAAGTTCGCACACTCCGCTTCGGCATCCTGGAGTTCCACTAGTTCAAATCCTAGGTCCGGACATGGCACTGCTCATCAGGCCACGCTGAGGCAGCATCCCGCATGCCACAACTAGAAGGACCCACAACTAAAAATTTACAACTATGTACCCGGAGGCTTTGGGGAGAAAAAGGAAAAATAAAATCTTAAAAAAAAAAGGAAGCCATTAGTAAAACATATGGGTTAGAAAATTGCTTTGAGGAAAACTTCAGCAATCAGAATGCTGTATCTTAAAAGTAACGGATGATTGTCAAAAACAAACTTCTGTAGGCCTTTTCCAAGATACACAGAGTGAAAAGAAGATATACAGAGTAAAACAGATTTTATTTTTTATCTTAGAAATCTGTTCTCACGAAAAAGCCAAAGAACTCTTTCAGTCAAGAGGTAAAGTAAGTAGATAAAAGCAATTTCAGAGGTGTGCTCAGATAAAATTCTTTCTTTCTTTTTTTTTTTAAGGAAGATTAGCCCTGAGCTAACTCCTGCTAATCCTCCTCTTTTTGCTGAGGAAGGCTGGCCCTGAGCTAACATCCATGCCCATCATCCTCTACTTTATACGTGGGACGCCTACCACAGCATGGCTTGCCAAGTGGTGCCATGTCTATCAACTTAAAAAGTAGGATATGCCTTCAAATAAGAGAAGGAATTTACCGTATGCTTCTAGACACCTGAAAAACACAGTATTGTGTGCATTTCTTCTTAGAAAAGAGTTTACATTTTAAGAATAAATATTAATGGCCTCAAAAACACTGCTTTGGAGACGGTAAAAAAAGTTGTATATACGAACGATGTATACAGGAGGAAGCAAGAGGATATATATCCTGGATCATCTGTCCTGGGTTCCTAAAATGTGAACTTTTCAAGGCATTTGGAGGAGAGAGGGATATTTCAGATTTTTCATCAACAGCTGTAGAAAGTCCTTCAATGTGTCATGATTTACTGGTACCAATGAGAATTGGTACTTTTCCCAGTGATTTCTCCTGACTCTTTTGGTCTGCTCCCTAAGTCTAGATATTCCTCAAAGTTTTCTCAGAACCGTCCTTTCTTTTCTTTCTGGAGTCTCTCCCTTGACCCTTAACCATGTCACACAACTCCTAACTCCAGTTATCCCCTCCAAGGTAGTGACTCCTGAATCCACCTTCCCCACCCTGAGCTCTGTGTCAATAGGGCAATGTGTGCAGGCCCATGCAGCTGGACTAAGGACCATACTTTGAGTAGCAAGGCTCTAGATGAGGAGTTGGCAAACCTTTCCTGTAAAGGGCCAGATAGTCCCTGTCCCAATTATTCAACTCTGTCATTGTAATATGAAAGCAGCCACAGACAATTCGTAATCGAATGGGCATGGCTGTGTTCCAACAGGATTTTATTTTCAAAAACAAGAGGCAAGCAGGATTTGCTTCTAGTTTGCTGATCACTGTTCATCACTGATTGTCAAGCAGGCAGCCCCTTCAGAATCCACTTGGAGAGAAAGAAGGGAATGAGAGGGAGGGAGGAACTGAGTACCTTCCTCCTACTCACTGCATTGGAGCAATTTAACTTTGATCCATTTTTTTTTTTTTTTCCCCAGAGCTGAGTGAGGGATCATCTGCACAAAAGGTTTCATGCCCAAAGGTTTGAAAGTCACTTGTCTACATGTTATCTGAGGTTCATTCTAGGTATGAATCTGTCACCACCCTCAATCTAGTCACTATCTGCTTGGATCCATCTTCTCTGCCAAAGTAACATCATTGCCCACTTCTGACTGTATCATTTCTCCAACCAGAGATTTCCATGTGTCATTCCCAACCTACCTCCTAATCTCACCCTGCAGGCCTCTAACATACCTTCGAGATCAGCTGCACGGGCTCTATGTAGGACACTCCCCAAAGACGCTTTTCCTTCTGTCTTTCTGCGTGTTCTCCCCTTGCCCAGATGCCCTCTCCCTCCCACTCCACCCTTGCACTTGGCAATCCTCAAATGCTACTTGCCCTGTGGAAGCATCTATAATTTCACCACCCAGAAGCAGTCTCCTCTATGCTCCTGTGTACTTTGTTCATGGGGCTTCTGTGTCTCCAGGTCCCAGCTCCCCTGCTGGATTAATGTTCCTTAAGAGCAGGCGTCACATTTTACAGATTCTTCTACCCAGCATGGACACAGCTTAGTACCACATCCATAGCAGCTGTTTGAACTCTTTATTTGGATTGAAACAGGGCATGCCTTGGCAGAGCGCATCCTACCTGCCCAAACCCTTCTGGACCTGCATGCCATCTTCTCAATTCTTCCTCCCCCACTGCCTGGAGAGGGCCACAGTTACAATGCACAGGTGTTTCCCATTGTTCTTAGATGGTAAGAGTACCTGGTTGATGCTTGGAAGCTGAGAGAACAAGATCCAGGTAAGTGAGCAGTGAAGGGGACATGAGAAAGGGACCGGGAGGGGGAGACAAGTCCAGAAGCCTTGGGTGGCAGGCATACGTAAGGCATCTGACCCAGGAGGGCAAGGTGTAGGCTGAGGCTGCTGCCGGGGTTTGGAGACACAGTGTCCTGCGGTGGGAAGAAAGCAGCAGACTTTGGAAAGGGACACACCTGTGCTTAAAATTTACAGCTGTTTAACTTTGGGTGGATTTCTAACCTTCTGAGCTTCACCTGCATATTAAGAATAAAAGTATCTGGGGCTGGCCCGGTGGCGCAGCAGCTCAGTGCGCACATCCTGCTTCGGTGGCCCGGGATTCACCAGTTCAGATCCCAGGTGTGGACATGGCACCGCTTGGCAAGCCATGCTGCGGTAGCCGTCCCACATATAAAGTGGAGGAAGATGGGCACAGATGTTAGCTCAGGGCCAGTCTTCCTCAGCAAAAAGAGGAGGATTGGCAGCAGATGTTAGCTCAGGGCTAATCTTCCTCAAAAAAAAAAAAAGAATAAAAGTATCTTTTGAAATGTTCTGAGGCGTAGACAGACTGACTCTGGTACAGAGTAGGGCTCAACAAGTGGTATTATTGGTTCTGAAGAAGGAGAGTGAAGAGGAAAAGGAGATTTTAAAAAAAGGAAAAGGCAGTTCTTAAGATAAATGTCATTAATTTTTTTTTCCACCCAGGATTTATGCAGCACATTCCATTGGCTTCCTTTTTAACCATGGGTGAAGTGAGAGGGTACTGGTCTGGCATGTGCATAGGAAATCACCTGGGGATCTGTTCAAATGCAGATTTTCATTCAGTGGGTCTGAGTGGGCCTGAGATTGGACATTTATGACGTCATCCGACTGGTCTCTGAACCTCACTGTGAGTAGCAAAGTTGTTGTCCACGTAGGCTGTTGAGATAAAGGTGATGGATGGGTCTGCTGGGCTGTCTCTCAGAAGGAGGACGTCAGCTAAGGGAGGTTAAAGTCTGTGGGAGAGAGAGCACCACGTGGGATGATGGGGCCAAAGGGCAGGGAAATTATAAGTGAAAAAGAGAACTTGTGTTCTCTGGGCTTATCTGCAGACCATATTCAGACACAAGAAACTTGATTTAAACTCTTCCCAGGGAACTTTAATCTCTTTGGACCTTGCTTGAAATGCTAGAATAGGAAAGGGATAAATGAGAGACAAGATAGCATATGAGGTTTTTGCAGCAAACCATTACCACCTTTATCCCCTAGCAAAGTAGTATGATGAGTTGGAAAAAGCTCCAACACACGGTGTCAGCTGAGTGACTTTAATTAAACTACCTAAACCATCTGACTTAATTTCCCCAGCAATAAAATGGGAATAATAACTAAAGCAAATATAGCAAATTATTAATTGTAGAATTTAGGTGGTGGGTGTATGGGTTTACACCGAACAATTCTTTCAGCTTCCCTTTGTGTTTGAAAATCTTCATACTAAAATGTTGAAAAAATTATGTTTCCTACCTCTGAGGTTTCTGTAGGTAGAAATGAGATAAATTAGTACATAGTACATGTGTCTAAATAACATTAGCCTAGTCTAAATGATGGGTGCTCTCTGAGGGACTTCCTCTTAGCAGTTTTAGAAATTATTTTATAAGCATAAATATACATAAAATATCTCTGGAAGGAAAGACAAGAAAACACGAACTTTGGTTGTCTCCAAGGAAGGGGAACTTTGTGTCTGGAGGACCAGAATGGAAGGGAGACTTTTCACTGAATTTTGTCTTGCAAGTTTTGAATATCAGAACATATGGATGCATTCCCTATTCAAAAATAAAATAACAGACATAGAGCTCTGCAAGTCTAACAGTCTGCCTCTTTTCCAAGTAGTATAATAAGTGTTGAATTGCAGAACTTATGAAACCGGCAAACAGTTAGCCACTGATGATTAAGTGGCTAGGAACTAAAGTTTCTTTCCTTTTTGCAATTACTGATTATAGCTTTTAGCTGTTTACCCCCCCCCCCCCCCCAACGTTCACTGTGCTGTTTAGGCAATATGCTGTCTGACTCTCACTAGGTTCCTAAGATAACATCTCCCTGGAGCCTGGGTCACCATGGTAATGGGTGTTTGAGCTGTTTTTCAGGAATTAGAACCCCGTGTCCACTTCAGGCCCATTGAGAGCACCAACCCATCAACTGGGTCTACGCAGATGTCTGATAAGCAACAAACACTCTACCCTCAGGTCATGCTAATGCCACCATTTTGTTTACTTGCATCCTATGAAGAGCCAAGAAGTCTGACTACGCTTGCTTGCACAGATCACCAATTACCTCACCTTTCCTCACCTCCAATCACCTATCTCCACATTTCAGACCACCTTGCCCCCCTATGCCATAAATATCCCTCAGTCCCCATTTTCAGGGAAGCGGATTTGAGACTCATTCTCTCACTTCCTCACTTGGCTCCTTGTGACTAAACCCTCTCTCTACTGCAGTGTCGTCATCTCAGTGTTTGCCTTTCTGGGCAACGGGCAAAAACGAACCTGGGTTCGGTAACACTTGCTGTGCATGGCTCTTGGTTAGCAAAGCAGTCAATGTCCAGCTTCATAAAGTGGGGCATCGTGGAGCTGGACTGACCCATCAGCAGCCAGCTGGCTCTATCTATTTGAGGACGTTTTTAGCTATGAGCCAAAGGACTGCATTTTTCCTTCTTGCTTTCCAGACAGGCCTGGGCTGAGGAAGTAACTAGGTTGGGTAATCTAGAAGAATGAGGGGTTCAGAGACAGACTGGCGGTCTGAAGACCCTACTGCTGCAGTCTTGCATTAAAGGAGGCAGAGAGAGTGTGAAGAACTACACCTCAGGCTGGGGCATAGTCCTGTGTAAATAGTGGTTTAGATATTCCATACTTTACCGTTTACAAAGCGTTCATAAACAATGCCTCCTCAGAGCTATACAACTGCCCTAAGAGGTTGGTGGGCACGGATTTTGTCTTGTTTTATTGAAAAGAAAACTAAGTGTGGGGCTGTGAGATATGCCTCTCAGATATCCTTCCAACCTCAGGAAGCAGTTGGCTGAGGGACCCTGCTGCGTTCTGAAGTCCATTGATGTGTCTGAGCTGAGGCCATGCTGCCCACAGGCTGCTCCCAGCCGGTGGCAGGGTGCGGCAGGAATATCAAGGCAGGCTGGTTCTTTGGAGACATGGAACTATCCTGAGGGTTTGAGTGCTTCCCAACTGCCTTGCTGAACTGTCCTTAGAGTGTACTGCAGTCTAACATGCTTCCCCCTAACCGTCCTTCCTTCCTTCTCTTCTTCACTCCTGGTGAGGGCTGCCTCACAGCCTGATGGCTCTCCCAGCCTCTCCTGGCTCCCTCCCATTTTCTCTCAGAGGCATTACCTGCAAGTTTAATACTGTTTTGGCATCAAGCATAGATCTGAGTGATTCCAGGCTGTGCTTCTAATCAATGCACTATCTTGCCTTTCTTTTCATGAAATTCATTTCGGTTTGAGTCACTGGATGGGCATATCCTTTTTCCCATCAGCTTGCTGCCTATCAGCTTGTTTTTAATATTTTATTATTAAAAATATTTATGTAAATGTGATTATGTCTGGCATATTATCTACACCTATAAATGAAAATTATTTTATCTTGTTGAAAAGGTAATTGTGCTTTATTAAATTATGTAAAATTGTAAGGCTCAGTTTCACAAAGTTTTCTGTTTAGTTGACATGCAGACTTTGAGGTTTCTTTTTTCTGTTTGTTTTTTGTTTTTTTTTTGTGGAAGATTAGCCCTCAGCTAACTATTGCCAGTCCTCCTCTTTTTGCTGAGGAAGCCTGGCTCTGAGCTAACATCCGTGCCCGTCTTCCTCTACTTTATATGTGGGGTGCCTACCATAGCATGGCTGCCAAGCAGTGCCATGTCCGTACCCAGGATCCGAACCAGCGAACCCTGGGCCACCGAGAAGCGGAACGTGCGAACTTAACCGCTGCGCCACCGGGCCGGCCCCTTGAGGTTTCTTTTGTTGTTGTTGTTCTTTGTTGGATAATTTGTCCCCTACCAGTCTCCACGTCCACTTTTCGTTGTCCTTATTAGTGCTCTGGGGTTCGTAATTATGCTGGCCATCCTAGAGATTCTAGGAATTTAAACAGGCCAGAAGGACTGTTGGCAGGTAGCCCTTTGGTCTGGGAGGGAATATCTTAAACCCACAAATGCTAGTCTAAGGAAGAAGCTGTTTAAGTCTGTTGAAATGGTGTCAGCAGAAGAATGGGGGTATTATAAGCTGTTAGTAGGACACCAGTTAACATAAGGTGGAGAAGAGGCAGAGAAACCTGCAGGCTCTTACCTCAAGGATCTTCCTGGAATTGGCTGGCAGCAATTGGGTTGGCTGTTTGCGTGAGTTCCCAGGACCCCACCAAGAGTTCATTCTGGATGAACAGGACATTTTGTCAGAACAATTAGGGCTTCCTTTCTAGAGTGTGCTTGGCTGGGAAAGAAGCAGGAACCCCTCAGGGGCCAATATTCTAGCAGTGGTTGACCCTGAAGCGATGCATGGAAGGGCTACGGAGTAAGGATAGTGGAGAGGATTTTTGAAGCAATTTGAATAAGCTGAGTCTTGTGGAAGCAACCCTGGTAGAGAGCCGACCAGAGCATTATAATGCTTACCACCCACTCATATGTCCCCACAGAGACAGGAAGTGTGGCTGGAGGGTAGGAGGACAGTGCCAAAGCCAGAAAGCCAGAAAGGCCAAAGGAAAATGAGAGCTCGAGCAGCAGTACTTGACTTGGTGAAGAAATGAAGAATGTCTTTAAGGAACTGTGTCTGTAAGCTGACTGGTGGTGAGCAGGAATCAGTACCTTACGCACATGTGCACACACACACACACATACACACAGAAAGTGAGAGAGAAAAGGAACAATATTACCTTGCCCCTTTACAACAATCAGAAGCCTCAGATGTTAACTATATTTTGGGCTTTTCAAGAGCAGGGTTCATGAATTTTCTCTCTGTTGCATCCCAACATGCCCAGCACAGAGCTGCATGCATGGCAAGGCCTCCTTGAATAGAGTGTTATTCTTTTGGGCATCATGGAAAATGGGTTCTTGGCTCCCTGACAATATGCACTGTGCTAAATGATCTGCATACCAAGACCACAAAAGGTCACCGCATCACCTCCAACATTCTTCCTCCACACACTTTGAGGGCTCTGCCCAATGGTGGGGTTCTAACACACTTCTTTCACCAAGCCTGAGGTTTGTTATTGACATCAGTCAATACTAGATTAAACCCCTGTGGCCATTAGCCCTCTTCTGAGAGGCCTGAGGAATCAAGTATAAACAAAAGATATGGAGGTGAGCCATTGGGGGTGGTGGTGCGCAAGGACCTGAAGGGGAAACTACATTCTGACAGGTGGAAGACAGTGCCTACAGGCTCAATGGAGTGAGTCACAAGAACAGGAAGCCCAGGGGGCTTTTACTTTTTCCAAGATTTATATCCGCACAATTTCCTGCCTATTCAGAGGATTGGTCAGGAGCTGCCAAGTCTTCTCAGGGACTCTCACAGCTGCTTGAAGATTACATTAGGGATTTTCAAAGGTAGGCAGGACTATCACAAGAAAGTCTGGCATGAAGCTAATGATGGTAATATATGATCCACTGCTAAAGGATATGCATGCTGCTTTTTCTATATTAACCTTGTATCCTGCACTAATCCTGCTAGCACTGCTTATTAGTTACAAGAGTTCTTTTGTCCGAATCTTTGTTTCTTTCACTCCCAATAAGCCCTGGGGTAACTCGCGGGTCGCAAGGATTTATGAGTTTGTTTTACAGAGGAAAGAGAATGCCTTCAAGGATCACCAGATAACCAGACCCCAGCTGCCTGTTGACACCCAGAAGTCAGACTGCCCAGGGGGTTATGGAGAGTGAAGGAAACACATTACCCCTCTGTTTCTCTGAAACTCCTCTTGGCACACCCCTTAGCTCTATAAAACCCCCTGCTTTCTTCTGTTGTCAAGATGGATTTGAGAGAACCCATGCTCCCGTCTTCTCCTTTTTGACCAATTCGAATAAACCCTTCTCCGTGTCCAAGCACCAGTGTCTCAGTGTTTGGCTCATTCCGCATCGGGCACATGAATTTGAGATTAAGAGGTTCAGTATCACAGCTTCTTTTGCTTACATTACATTGCATGTAGTTACAGGTCTGTTCATTCTCTCTCATTACTATATAATATCCTCAACCTTTTATTTCGAAACATTTAAAGCCCCAGAAAAGTTGAAAAACTAATCCAATGAACACCCATATCCCCTTCACCTAGAACGTGAGGGACCATTATTATTTCCGCTTTATAGAACTAAAACAACTAAGGCAAAGAGAAAGTAGAGGACTAGCGCAGCCCGTGCACCTGGGATCTCGTCTTGCCTGACTGCTGCTTAGGCAGTCACAGACTGCGGGCAAATCATCTAACTTTTTGGAGGCTATTTCTTTATTAAGATGGAGTAGGAATTCCCATTTCATTGCATTTCCATGTTGTTGTGAAGCTCAAATACTAGGAACATGTGAGAGTGCTTTGTGAAGAATAAAGTGGTGGTACTCAAAAGGGGGATTGTTAAAATGCAGGTTCCTGGGCCTCACTCCCAAAGATAGACAGTAGGTCTGGGGCAGAATGTTTAACAAGCACCCTAGGTGTTTCTGATGCACAAGTCCCCTGACCAACTATGCAAAAAGACTTTTGTAAAATAAAGGTTCTCAAACTTTGGAGACTATCAGAATCACCTGGAGGGATTGGGTGTTATTCTTGCCACTAGCTCCTGTTGTCACAGAGTCAAGAAGATGGCAGAGAGTTGCAGGTGCGGAATTTGGTGTGCTTCATCCTCTGTGGGCTGGGAGAGGCTGGCCCCAGGATTAGTCCGTGAGCGCTCTTCTTCACAGCATAGAGAAGCAAAAGGAAGCTTGCTGAACTTTGAAGGGGGCAAGTGATTCACAGGTTTAAAACAAAACAGGAAAAGAGGGAGGCATTTGTAGGTGAAAGGGCGAGAGTCTTCTGTTGCAAAATAAGAGGTCAGATTAGGGAGAAGTAAAAAACAACTATCATCATTATTTAAAATTCGGTACATTCCTGCCTTCTTACTTCAGGGCGGGTGGGGGGAGGACAACAAACCGCAAATATCTGCTTAGAGCACCAACAAAGCCTGAACGCCAAAAAGAAAAGAAAAGAAAAGAAGAAAGTAATTTGATTGCTTAAAGCATTGAAGATGTCAACGGGGGCAGGGGAGAGGGGAACGTTTTTGGATTTCCTAATTGTTACTTTGTGGTTTAGACTTGTGTTTTATTTTGAATTACCTGCGGGCGGGGCGAGGGGTGGAGGATACCATAATTGTTTTCTCTTGCTGAGGGCCTCTGGATGTAGTCAGTCATGTATGAGGGATACATTTTTAATGGATCAGTTTGGAGCATTGAATATGATGAACACTATCTCTATGCCTGCAACATTAGTTAAGTAATTGAGGTAAGGCTTCCCAAAATTCAAATTTCACTGCTTGAGGAAGCCCCCCGCCAGCCTCCTGCATCATTGCCGCCGCCTGTTGCTCCCCATCCTGAAGGCCAAGGACCTGGGGACCATCCCGGCGCCAGCTCCTCTTCGCACCTCCCATCTGTCCTCTCTTGTCCACCTTCCCCAAAAGCGCCCCGGGAGGACGAGGCTCGCGGCAACGTCATCCGGAGATCCCCCGCCCCGCACTCCGGGGGAGGTCCACCGAACCCTACCTAGCTCCAGGCGGTTGCACAACTTGTGTGCTCAAAAACTGTTCAAGTCCCTGCATTTTACACACAGAAACACTGGGAGTCAGATGTTGGTTTCTTTAAAAAAAAAAAAACAAAAAACCCACAACTTAAAAAAAAAAAAAGGTCGTTTGCATAATAAGCATAGGCAACTATCATCCCGGAGTGATTTGGGTTTAAGTCTCGCTGAGAAAAAAAGGAGACCAACCAATAGTATTCTAAGCCCTTTTGGAAATTGATTCAACTTTGAATTAGACATATGTTTGAAAAACGGACTTTAAAGTCAAAAGAGCAGTAAATCAGAAGTCTGTACAGGTCCACCGCGGGGTTAGAATTTCACAAAACTTTAGAAGCTGCTTGCTAAAAATAAGTCTAGAAGCCACCGTTTCCATTTTTAAAGACAGTTTCTATTCTGATCGCTGACGGTAACCAACAGGTTAGTCACCGTTAAGATGTCTGCCGGACTCCTCCACGCCTTTTGCAAAACCACAAACCCGCGCGGGCACCGGCCGCATTTTGGCCACGGGCCTCGCAGGACCCCTAATTCTGGCAGGGGCCCCCAGCCCCTCGAGGCGGGCGGCGGCGGGGTGCAGGCGCCGGGAAGCGGCAGAGGGCGACACTCGCCCTGGCCTCTGGGCGCGGCGTGTCCCGGGCCGCCGGTGACGTGGCGCGGGGGCGGGCGGGGCCGGCTATATCCCGGCGCCCGCGGCCCCGCCGCCGGACCCTCGTGCAGCTTGTTCGAGCCGCCCGCGCGGACTCCCCGCACTCGCGCCTTTTCGCTGCTGTCGGTCAGTGGGTGCGCGCCCCCTCTGTGACTAGCGAGCCGGCCTGGGTCCCCCACAGCGCCGTGGCAGGGGGAGGGGGTCCTGGGGGTCCCCGGGCGCAGGGCGGGCTCCAGGCCTGGGGTGTCGACGTTGCTTTGTTTGTGGAGGCTGCTTTCCTGCCGGCAGCTTTAGCGCAGCTGTAACTTCTTGGCTTGCTTTCGGGGTAACCGTTTCCTCTTGTCCCGAAAGGAGATTATTTATAAGGAAATGCTTATAAGGACTTTCTGGGGTGCACGGCGACAGCGGGGTGTCGGTCCCGGCGCCTGCCTTCTGAGTTCCGCGTGATTCTTACTCATTTCTCGTAGAACCGGGGCGACGGGCCCGGAAGTGGCCGCGGGCGGCCGCGCACGTTTCCTTCCCAGCCCTGCTGCTTAGCAAGAGGCAGTTTTTCGGGTGCGGGTCGTTGGGGGCGCTAAATTTACGTTTAGAAGCTGAAACGCTTTCTCACTTCCTCGGAGCACCTTCCTCTTTGCTTAGTTGTCCCTGAACTGGTTTCAGTTCTTTCACAAGCAAGGAATAAATTCCCCCCAAAGGGCTCCAGCTTGATGGTCCTGACCGTCCCAGATGTCTTCTACTTGAAATCTCTCTGTAGTTTTAACATAGACTTTAACTTGGTTAGCATTTTTGTGAAAAGATATTCCTCTTCAAAAGGCATTTCTGGCATCCTGGTGGAGAAACAAAGACAAATGTATCAACAACTTTGCTTTTCGCTGCCGAGCCTCTTTTGTGTTGAAAGTTGACCGCGAGCCCTGAACCTTCCCTCCGAAGCTGTTTGCCCGGCGAGAACACTGAGAGCCAGGGGGTGGAAGCAGGGCGAAAACTCCACTTACCTCAGCAGGGACTTTTCTCTACTTGAAATTAGCATTTGCTCGGGTCGGGGAATGAATCTGGGAGAATCTTATCTTAGTGTCTTGAAATAAGTTTCTCTTCCGCAGATTTCTTTTTCCAGGAAGGAAAATGGCATCTGCCGCAGTTGATCCACAGCCGGTAAGAATTTTACATGGCCCTTTCTTGATTCCTTCCCTCCCCATGTGTTTTGAGAAGTTAACACCTCCGTCCCCCTTGGTTGCAGAGCGTCGTGACTCGGGTGGCCAACCTGCCCTTGGTGAGCTCCACCTATGACCTCGTCTCCTCCGCTTACATCAGTACCAAGGATCAGTATCCCTGCTTGAAGTCTGTGTGTGAGATGGCAGAGAAGGGCGTGAAGACCATCACCTCGGTGGCCGTGTCGAGTGCTCTGCCTCTCATCCAAAAGCTAGAGCCACAAAGTGAGTTCTGATTTTCCCCTCAAGATTCAGTCCTAGGGACTCAGGCTGGGGTGAGCCAGGAGCTGGCTTGAATATGGTGAATACCAGCCTTATGCCCTAAGGACACAGCAGCAACATCCGGAATCCTCAGGCTTTTCTGAGGCACATACTGCCTTTACCTAGAAACTGCCAGGTGACCCTCATGGTTGTAGAATGCCTGCTTCAGAGCAATGGTGGATGCTCATGACACTTAAAAAAAAAATCACCCAGAGATGCTTCTGTGTTGGTAGCTGAGATCATAAGGGGAGCCCGTGGGTGAAATGAAATAGCTGACTTCCTTGGGACTACAGTGTACATGAATTGCTTTTAAAAAAATAAAGGACATCTTTATTGAGATAATAAACACACCATACAATTCACCCCTTAACGTGTACCATTCAGTAGTTTTTAGTATATTTACAGTGTTGTACAAGCATCACCATGATCAATTTTAGAACACTTTCATCATCCCAGAAAGAGGCCTCATACCAGTTTCTGTCTGGGATGATGAAAAGGTTCTGGAAGTAACAGTGGTGATGGTTACACAACATTGTGAATGCCACTGAATTGTACACTTAGAAATAAAGTGGTGAAGTTTATGTTATATCTGTTTACCACAATTTAAAAATACAGAGAAAGATTAAGCAGTTTAAATATTAAAACAAAATAGGAAACCTTAGACCCCCATTAGCACTCACTCCCCATTTCCTTTCAACCCCCACCCCAGGCAAGTACTAATCTACTTTCTGTTTATAGATTTGCCTGTTCTGGACACTTAACGTAAATGGAATCATAAAATATGTGGTCTTTTGTGACTGGCTGCTTTCGCTTAGCATAATGTTTTCAAGGTTTAGCCATATTGTAGCGTCAATCAGTACTTCATTCCTCTTTATTATGGAATAATATTCCATCATGTGGATAGATCATATTTTATTTATTCATCAGTGATGGATGTTTGGGTTGCTTCTACTTTTTGGCAATTACGAATAATGAATGCTGTTGGGAATGTTTGTGTACAAGGTTTCACGTGGACATATGTTCTCGATTCTCGGGTCTGTACCTAAGAATGGAATTGCTGGGTCATGTAATAACTCAGAGCTTTTGGGGAACTGCTAGACTGTTTTCCAGAGTGGCTGCACCATTCTACATCCCACCAGCAGTGTATGAAGGTCCCAATTTCTCCCCATTATGAACTACTTTTGAATAAAGATTTAAATCATTCCCCCAAATGGTTAGGTCATGGACTTTTAGAATTTTAAGAAACCTTTAGAGACCAGATTTCCAACTCTGCTGCTTCCAAAAGGCATTTAGCCCTAGTGCTTGGCATGGTGCTCATTGAGGGGGAAGCTTCGACCACAATCTGGATCTTGTTAGGGAGATGCAGGGTGCTGTTAACATACTGTTTCCTGGTGATAACCCAAAATACACTGCCACTACTGAATTAAGTGTAGCTGGGGATTAAAGTAGCATGGAAATGGTAATTTTGAGGGCGTTTTCAGATACCTTATTCCCTGAATGAGGGTTCAGGTGAGCCTGGCTTCTCTTGGCATTAACCTTACAGGCAAGTTGATGAGGAAGAAGCTTCTTAGCCAGCTTCCTACTTGTCCTGTCACCGTCTCTGCCTGCTGCTCCCCCACACACCCTTATTTCTCTGTCAGTGGAAGAAAGTTGCCAGCAACCTGCCAAGCCTCTTCTGTCTGAGCTAGAGAAGCCAGTCAACACATTGTGTGGTAAAGCAAGACCAATATTCTTGCTGCTTTTTATAATAAGAATAATGTATTCATTCTTACCTACACCATTAAGATTTCTCCTATTTGTGACTCTTCTAGTTGCGCTTGCCAATACCTATGCCTGTAAGGGGCTAGACAGGATTGAGGAGAAACTGCCTATTCTGAATCAGCCAACAAACCAGGTGAGCTTGGGACAAGAGTGCTGAGGCTTGCCATCTCACGTTTCCATATTCTATCTATTTAGCCCAGGCTGTGCATGCGATAATTAGGAAATACTTATTTGTTCCCTAAACCTGGATATATTTTTCAAAGAGTAATTGCCACTCCCTTACTTCCTGAATTGTCAGCTTATGTCTAAGAAGCAGAGATGAACTATCTACCTTTGGACTAGAATACTTTTAGTCTGGTCTGTATCAGCTTATGGCTTTGCCTCTGCAGGTAAAATTGCTCTCTCAAATAACTGATGCTCATGTGGTATTGGATAAATGGCAGAGGTGGTATCGAGAAGCTTTTCTCACTTGGTATCTGAGAATACATCCAGTAGGATGGAGAACTGACATCTCTGCCTATGTTTTGGCCTTGTGGGGCCATGTGCAGAGGGCCATGTTTGCATGGTACCTACATCTATGCTCATAGGTATGCACGAGCTGCTCTCAGTATAAGCATGTCAACATGGAAAATCCCATTCTCTAGAGTAACCCTTGTACCTTACCACAGGTTCACCTGGTTAAAAAAAAAAAACCATCCTGACAAGTTGACAAATTTTATATGTGATTACCTCATTTGCTCCTCCAACAATCCTTGAGTGGTGGCAGGTGGGGCAAATATACCTGATAAAGAAATTGAGGCTCATCAACTCTTAGTGACGTGCCCCAGACCTAAAGCTAGGGAGTGAAAGAGCCAGATTCCTTTTTAACTCAACTCTTTAAAACCTTAGTCAAGACCTTAAATACGTATTTATGTCCATGTTTCTCACCAGCCAAGTGACCTGCGTTTTTCTTTTTGTAGGTTGTTGCCAATGCCAGAGGTGCTATGAATGGGGCAAAAGATGCTGTGACGACTACTGTGACTGGGGCCAAGGATTCTGTGGCCAGCACGATCACTGGGGTGATGGACAGGACCAAAGGAGCGGTGACGGGCAGTGTGGAGAAGACCAAGTCTGTGGTCAATGGCAGCATTAACACTGTCTTGGGAAGTCGGATGGTGCAGCTGGTGAGCAGCGGAGTAGAAAATGCGCTCACCAGATCAGAGCTGCTGGTAGACCAGTACCTCCCTCTCACTGAGGAAGAACTAGGTAATTGGATTTTTGTCTTGAAATAATGTTTTGTATCTTAAAGCAATCTTTTTTTTTTTTTTGAGGAAGATTAGCCCTGAGCTAACATCTGCTGCCAATCCTCCTCTTTTTGCTGAGGAAGACTGGCCCTGAGCTAACGTCTGTGCCCATTTTCCTTTACTTTATATGTGGGATGCCTGCCACAGCATGGCTTGCCAAGCGGTGCCATGTCCGCACCTGGGATTGGAACTGGCGAACCCGGGGCCACCAAAGCAGAATGTGCGCACTTAACCGCTATGCCACCTGCCGGCCCCTTAAAGCAATCTTTTTAAACAGCTTCACTGAGATATACTTTATATACCAAAAAATTTACCTGTTTTCCTTCTAAATTTACAGAGTTGCACAACCATCACCACAATCCAGTTTTAGAACATTTCTATCACCCAAAAGATCCTTCAGTGCAGTCAATCTCCATTCCCCCTCCCCTAGGCAGCCACTAATCTTTGTCTCTATAGATTTTCCTTCTTAAAGCAATCATGTTTCACATTCAATTTTACGTAGTAAGTTTTGAAACTTTAGGAGAAATTAGCCTAGAGAAATATTTTCTATAAATGAATTGTCTTTAATGGGCTGCTTTACAGAATCATTAAACATTCAGTGCTGACTAGGTGCCAGGTACCGTGTTGCCCAGAAGCTCTAGTGGGAAGAGGCATGTGTAGATGAAAATGTCCGAGACAGTGAGAAGTCCTGGGTGGTCAAGCCCAGCAGCGGACGAGCTGTCTTGGGAAAATGATTGCTTAATTGTTAGGTGGGTGGGGTAGAATCGACAAAGTCAAGGTGCAGGTTAGAGTCCAGGCCTGTCACTTAGAGCTGTGATCTCCTTACATTTTTGTCCCGTCTTTCTAACTTCAGAAAAAGAAGCCAAAAAAGTCGAAGGGTTTGATCCAATGCAGAAGCCAAGTTATTATATCAGACTGGGATCCCTATCTAGCAAGCTCCGCTCACGTGCCTACCAGCAGGCTCTCAGCAGGGTTAAAGAAGTGAAGCAGAGAAGCCAAGCGACCATTTCTCAGCTCCATTCCACTGTTAACCTGGTGAGTGAAACTTCATTTAAAGGTATCTGAAGTGAGCTCATTTATCTTGAGGCTTGAGAGTAAACGTAATCATGAAATCCAAGAATCTTATCTTTATCTTATCAAGAACCCAATAGAAAAATGGGCAACGAGTATACAGACAACTCACAGAAAAGGAAGTATAAATAGTAGAAATATATGAAGTGATGTGAATCTTACACTGAAGGGTCAAATTACTGATGCCTATCTTGTCCTTTCACACTGGTAAAGTGTGATGCTTGGGCAGTGGTGTGGAGAAAGGGGTGAACTTGGGCACTTCTGGCAGATTCAAGGGACTATTCCAGGAAAGTTACAAACATGTCTATGCCTCAAGTAGTTTTACTTTTAGAAATTTATTCTACACATGTGAAGTTGTTTAGAGTTGCAAAAGACTATAAACAATGCATGTCAAGTACTGGGGAATTAATTCAATGGATATATCACAAAAGACTATTGTGTAGTCATTAAAGATTGCCAAGTTATAGAACAGTTTGTATTGTACTGCCATTAGAAACTGGTTTATTCTTGGAAGGGGAAGCAGGTGGTTGACAACAGGGAAGAAGAACTTGGAATTCCTTTTTCTTTTGTAATTTTTTTTTTTAATTATTATTATTATTTTTTTAAAGATTTTATTTTTCCTTTTTCTCCCCAAAGTCCCCTGGTACATAGTTGTGTATTTTTAGTTGTGGGTCCTCCTAGTTGTGGCATGTGGGATGCCGCCTCAGCATGGCTCGATGAGGGGTGCCATGTCTGCGCCCAGGATTCGAACTGGCAAAACCCTGGGCTGCCCGAAGCAGAGTGCGTGAACTTAACCACTCGGCCACAGGGTCGGCCCCTTCTTTTGTAATTTTAATTTGTATTTTACACATATGTATCTGATTGACATCATAGATCTGAGAACAGGCTAACATGAATGTCTGACTAGTTTGTTCCTTTGTTTTATTTCAATGCGTTCTAGATTGAATTTGCCAGGAACAATGTGCATAGTGCCAACCAGAAAATTCAGGATGCTCAGGATAAGCTCTATCTCTCCTGGGTGGAGTGGAAGAGAAACATTGGCCATGATGATACAGATGAATCCCACTGTGCTGAGGTAAGTAAGACAGCTGGGATAGTCACCCACTCCAGTTTCTGAAGAAGCTCTCATCAGGCTTTCATTTCAATTTTCCCATTATTCCTCTTAGAATACTCTATCAGAAGTTTGAACAATACCGTGTACATAGGTTGCTTGTTATGTGACAGAAAAGCAAAACTGTGCTGTAACTTTATCTTCCAACCTACAGATAAACATATTACCCCTAATGGGATACAACTAAATGAGAAACATGGGCCTTGCTCTCATAATGGGTACAGACTAACAGGGGAGGTAGGCATTTTTATTGTCACAGCCTTTTTTGAAGGCATAAAGACAGGCAGTATGAGAATATATAGGGTGGCTACCTAAATCAACCTTGAAGTGAGGAGGGTAGTCAGATGGCTTCCCGGAAGAGATGAGTGCTAAGCTGAGACCTAACAAGTGAATAAACGAGGTGAAAGGACAATACAGGGACTAACATTCCAGACAGAAGAAACAGCGTGTTGTAGTCCTAGAAAGTGGTTCTCTGATGGGTCCCAAAAGCTAGTATGTGTATCTGTGAAATGTGAATAATACTGCTGCACCCAGGCTTGTTATAAGGATTTTAAAATGTCCAAGAAGCCACCTATGTGGTAGACACATGGCCAGCTTACTGTAGTTGAACTAATTCATACATAGCACTGTTGGATCCACGGTTAATGTTTTAAACTTGTTTTATTTTTAGCACATTGAGTCACGTACCCTGGCTATTGCTCGCAACCTGACTCAGCAGCTCCAGACCACGTGCCACACCCTCCTGTGCAGCGTCCAGGGGTTACCACAGAACATCCAAGATCAGGCCAGTCACTTGGGGGTGATGGCTGGAGACATCTACTCGGTGTTCCACAATGCTGCCTCCTTTCAGGAAGTGTCGGAGGGCCTCCTCACTTCTAGCAAGGGACAGCTGCAGAAAATGAAGGAGTCTCTGGATGATGTGATGGATTATCTTGTTAACAACACACCCCTCAACTGGCTGGTAGGTCCCTTTTATCCTCAGCTGACCGAGTCTCAGAATGCTCAGAACAAAGGCACAGAGTAGGATACAGCCAGCCAGGAGACCCAGCAACCTGAGCACAAAACACATTAAACCTGTCCCTGTCACCAGTGCATGGTGCAGCCAGCCAGATGACACTTTCTGTTACGTTGAAATTAACCTGCTAGGCAACTTGGAATTGGGGAAGCAGCTAGCTAGAAAAAAAGGTCCTCCGTTACAGTCATTTCTAACTGGATTAAGAGCTTTAAAATTTCTGGCATTAGCAGATGAATTCTCTTGTTTACCTGGCTATTAAGAAAAGAATGCTAGACTGGTCAGAGCCTAGCCAGAACTCACAAAAAGTTCCAGTGCCTTTTTGGTCTCATTCTGTTGCCACCGTTGCTGTCTGTTTGTTTGAATGAAAGCGCCTTCCTGTGGGCTGTGGTATGAACTGGTGTTTGGTCCCAGCCTCATCGTTAGTTTGTCCCAAAATGCATGTTTGTACAACTTGAGCTTTTTGTTTTTCATAAAGGAATGTCTGCTATGAATTCAATAAAATTCACCGCAGAATAGATCCGTTATGCTGTGTGTTCCATGTGCCTTGTGTGTTGCTTTCTTAGAGCTGCCTGGCCTGCATGACATGGTTATTAATACACGTGCATGAATTCCAATTGGCCTGTTGGGAAATTTGGCAGGTTAATAACATTGGAAGACTAATATTGTGGAATAACATTGGAATGGAATATTTGATAACAGGTTTTTTAGGTTTTTTTTTTTAAAGATTTTATTTTTCCTTTTTCTCCCCAAAGTCCCCCAGTACATAGTTGTATATTTTTTTAGGTGTGAGTCCTTCTAGTTGTGGCATGTGGGACGCTGCCTCAGTGTGGCTTGATGAGCAGTGCCATCTCTGTGCCCAGGATCTGAACCAGCGAAATCCCGGGCTGCCAACACGGAGCGCGCAAATTTAACCACTCTGACCATGGGGCCGGCCCCTGATAACAGGTTTTAAACAAGTAAAAAGCTAATGTGCACGTAAAAATTTTACTAGGTGACAGTCATTACCTTCATTTGTCCAGTTACTGGACCCCTGAGAGTGGGTTTTTAAACCAGTAGAAGGACCTACTAAGGGCTGACTGCCTTGCTGAAAAGGAATCAAAGCTGAAAGGAAGCAAGAGAGTGACTCTTTGCATTAGTCTCACATAAAAGCAGCAGGCATTTCTTGTCAAGGGGCCATTTATTTTTTTATTTTTTTTGCTGAAGAAGATTAGCTCTGAGCTAGTATCTGTGCCAGTTTTCCTTTATATGTGCGTTGCCGCCACAGTATGGCTGATGAGTGGTATAGATCTGTGCCAAGGATATGAACCCATAAACCTAGGCCACCAAAGTGGAATGGGCCAAACTTAACCACTGTCCCATGGGGCCAGCCACAAGGACCATTTAAAGTGTGAGCCCTGGAGTAAGATTGTTCAGTGTCCAGTGTCAGCTGGAATGAACTGTGTTGTCACTTAGGGCGAAAGTCACTAACAGTTGTTGGTGAGATACCTTTAGAAGACCACGTGAGAATAATTAGAAGTAAAAAAGACTTTGGACCCCCTGTAGAAAAGGGTCCTTCTGCCTAGAGTGTTCAGACTTCTAGCCTCCTCAATGTTGGTCATTTATTTAGGAAATATTGTGAATCTCCTTATAACAAAGCTGCAGGATGCCAACTGTTTCAAAAAAACATCTTAGAACTAGATGCTTCTGCCTCTCCCTGCTAAGTGGTTAGCAAGGCTGCCCTTCAGCAGAACCAAAGTCTAAGTCAAATTTGCCTCCTTTCTGTCCTGGTTTACCCCTTTCTCCCCATGAAAATAAGGAAGCAGCACATAACCTTACATGCACCTTTGGTGTGAGTGAGTGTGTCAAAGCTTACTAAGCTATAAACTACATTTTTTGCCCTTGAGTTAACGCCAGGAATCAGTATACAAGTGAGTCTAATTGGAGGGTAAGGACTCACTGAGATACTTGAAACTGAGGAGCTTCTGGTTTCTGGGAAGGTAGACTGTCACAATTTATGGGCTTCCTGGATGGAGCCTCTCCATTCATCCATTCACTTACCTGCCTGCCCCCCCATAAGAGGCCTTTTAAAAATTTACTTCTTAGTTCAAATTGCACATGACCCTGCCCCTCTTTGCCTCAAAACTCCAAGGCTGGTATTTTATGGTTTATTCTGATTGGTTGGAAAATTCATATACTATAGCTGTACACATGCTTTCTTATTCTGAACATAAACTTTTGCATTTCCTCATCATAAGAGTTATAGTGCGAACTGAATTGTTTGTGAAAAGGAGACAGGTCTCAAAACTATTCTTCATGAGCAAGACAGAATATAAAGGAGACCTCTCTTAGCTTCTAGAACACCACCACTAGCCCTTGCTTTTTGCCATGAGCTGTGCACACTGGCTGTGGTTTTGTCTGTCTTTGTCTCTCAAATTTGTGGCTACATGCATTTCATTCTGCTGTCAACATATCTCAAAATTTGTGGTGTTCTCGCATAGTAGAGCTTTATTGTTGCATAAACTGGCAGTTTGGGCTTAACAGACTTATTCCCCAAGGAAGACAATTCTTTTGAGGAAAAAAGCTGACTAAGCCTAGCACAGTATCTCACTGGCAGGTTTTTAAACATTTGGCTGCATGAAGGCTGGCATGGTGTGCCTTGAGTGTTCAAGGATTTTTTTTTAAGACCTGAGCTAACATCTGTTGCCAATCTTTTTTTTTTTTTCTTCTCCCCAAAGCCCCCCCAGTACATATATTCTAGTTGTAAGTGCCTCTGGTTGTGGCATATGGGACACCACCTCGGCGTGGCCTGATGAGGGTGCCATGTCCTCGCCCAGGATTCAAACCGGCGAAACCCTGGGCATGCGAGCCTAACCACTCGGCCACAGGGCCAGCCCCTCTCCTATGTTTTAGAAGTTACTGATTCCTGAAAGAAATGGGGTCAACTGGACCCTCACTAGGATAGGCCCAGGTCATATTTTTAGGGCTGGTGAGGTAGAGCCTTCTTGCTCACCATCTAGCTGGTGCAGAGTGGGGTGATCAGGTAGAAAAGCCTGAATAGGAAAATCACACCCTCAGCTGGTGGTGAGGTGGTGAAAGGCGGGCAGCCTGTTGAGTTTGGTGAGATTGCTGAGTAACATATGCATGTTTAGTTGTTAAGACTGTCAGTAAGAGGACTCAGTGAATTGCTAGGAAGGCAGTGGGAAGGGAAAGTGTTTGGAGGAAGTGCGACAGAGTTTCCCAGGATTCTTGCTCCAGCTTAATTTGCTTAAACTGGGCCTGCAGGTTAGAGAGAAATGGGTTCTAACATAATGAAAGGCTTTAAATCTCATGGGGGAGCCTAGTCTCGATGTAGAATAGACCTTCTAGGTTCTTTAGCTTGGTACTGATTTTATGAAAGTGCTATTCGAGAGAGCCATATAAAAGCTGTTAGAACCATATCATAATATGTATATTTTGGGCTAACACTGAAAAAATCTAGTGGATGCATTCATCAGGTAGAGAAAATGTGGATAGGTTGGTAGCTACATTATTATATATATGTAGCTTTATTAAAAAATGACTCAATTCAATATCTGAGTTCCTAATAGTATAAGGCATGAACTCTGCTCTGCTGAGAATGTAAGGTCCAGAAACCGGGAGCTGGCCCGGTGGTGTAGTGGTTAAGTTCATGTGCTCTGCTTCAGTAGCCCTGAGTTTGCAGGTTCAGATCCCTGGCCCAGACCTACACACCGCTCGTCAAGCCATGCTGTGGCAGCATGTCACATACAAAATAGAGGAGGATTGGCTACAGATGTCAGTTCAGGGCCAATCTTCCTCACCAAAAAAAAAAAAAGACCAGAAACTGCCCTTAAGAGACTTATGGTCTTAGGGGAAAGTTGTAGACAAATATTCAAGTAATATCCTGGTATAGAACACTATTCTTCCCTCACCCTTAATGGCCCCAGGCTAATTTTTAAATTCCCTACCTTTATTACAAAATTAACCTACAAAATATGACACTTCAGCATAAGGCAGTATAGGACTGGCACGGGAACAATTTGGGTTTTAAGTTTTATTGACCAAAGCAAAACAGAACGCTAACTTAGGTGATATTTCCTGTGAGGAGGAAAAAAGGTCTGTCTTCTAGAACTTAAGAAAGTGAGGAAAGTAGTGGATAGGGTTGTTACCTGACATTTTTAAAAAGTAATGAGTAGATCAAATGGTACTTTTGTGTAAAAATCAGTGATGAAGAAATGGTTAGAATTTAAATTACATTTCCATTTCTCTTGGGTATATAGCTAGGAGTGGAATTGCTAGTGGGTCATATGGTCACACTATTTAATTGAGAAACTACCAGACTGTTTTCCAAAGAGGCTGCACCATCTTATGTTCCCACCAGCAGGGTGTGAGGTTCCGATTTCTCCACATCCTCACCAACACTTGGTGTTATCTGTCTTTGATTCTAGCCAACCATTTAAATGGTAACTTAGCGGTAATAAGAGATGTTGAAGAGAGTGAATCAAGCACTTTTCTTTTTTCACTGTCTTTTCTACCCAGGGGAGAGCCCAGGAAAACCCTGCTAAGGAGTTAGCTAACGTATCTAGGAGACTGACTCCCTCATATAAAATGAGGCAGCTCCTCCTAGGGAGCTCCCAGCATGGATGAAACCACGTCCTCTGTCAGGGAGCCTTTCCCTGCCCTCTCTGTCACTGCCAAGGATTATCAACTGGGGAGACTAATAAAATGCAGATTCCTGGGTTCCACCTCCAGGGAATCTGGTAAATGTGGAGGTAGTACCAGGCATCTGTACTTTTTTTTTTTTTAAGATTAACACCCGAGCTAACAAGTGTTGCCAATCTTTTTTTTTTTTTCTGCTTTTTCTCCCCAAATCCCCCCGGTAAATAGTTATATATTTTAGTTGTGGGTCCTTTTAGCTGTGGCATGTAGGACTCTGCCTCAGCATGGCCTGACGAGCGGTGCCATGTCTGCGCCCAGGATCCAGACCAGCAAAACCCTGGGCCGCCAAAGCAGAGCGCGAACCTAACCACTCGGCCACGGGGCTGGCCCCTGCATTTTTTAAAAGCATCCCTATTTGAAAAAAAAAAAGCATCATCTCTAGTGATTCAACTGCAGGTAGAATCTGACCACACTTTGAGAAGCATAGGAAACAATGATTCTAACCTGGAACAAAAGTAGGGCTAGGGCTACCTATAGCCCCTTCTCTCCAAACGAGACCCTGGATGTGGGCTCCATAAAGTGTTTTATTTTATGAAGACCTACTCTTGAGGTACATGCTCAAATGAATCAAAGACACAGGAGTTAACATTGACTCTTTGAATGTTGTGCGATGGATACCAAGAATCACTTTAACTTTGTTGTGATCAGTGCCAACCTGCTCCCTGGGCTGAGAGTTCTAACCACTTCCACAGACTCTTGTTCAAGCATTTACGGGACAAGAAAGTGGTCCTACTGCAGGGCAAGGATGTGCACTAGCCCACTTAGCTGTACCAAACTGCTCAGTTAAAGGGTAAAGAGAGAGTAAAGCAAAACCGAGATGCT